AATCCTTCAATTTCATTTCTTCGAACGCCTTCTTTTGAACTACTAGTATGATTTGGTCTTCAGGCAGCTCTTCATAGTCTGTCTCCACCACATTTCAATACTCCTTGGATTTGAGGAGATTCTCCATGAGGAGACTCTAATGATCATAATCTCCATCAAATTTTGGGATGAAAGCTTGTACGAAACTGTTAGTTTCAGCTGCCATGACTTCTCACTCTCGGGTGTTTTGTTCTCTCACTCTTATCAGGCCTCTTTTAAAGCTCTAATACCAGCTTCGTAGGGTATTATGCTAATGTTCACTGATTTACTGAAAAATAGTGCAATATTTTATTGATAGGTTGAGACTTTATATAAGTCATAAAACATGAGCAGACTAAGTCACTCTAACTGATATCTTTACAATTTAAGAATTTATTAATAAATAAATAAAACAAAATGAAACTAATATCAATAAACACAACAAATTATTTCTACATAACTCTCCATATATATACTTGTCATGCATTCTTTTTATTGTGGTGCATAATAAAGTATAAAGATATAGAATAAAAAATTTTGCACGAAATTATTAGTAGTGTGTTTATGATCTCACTCTACTCAATGTAATACAGTTTTAATTTATACAAAATAAAATTATTTTTAATCATATTAATAATATAATAATATATAATATAAAAATATAAAAAAATTCGCTTTATATGTTATTATACATTCAATATATTAGCAAAATACATCATAACTAAAAAAATGTAAACAAAAATTCAATAAACGAGTAACCAATGTTTTTCAAATGAAAACATGATTAAATTAAATCAAATTTTATAAAATAATATTTTTATAATATAATAAACTTAATAATAATAATAATAATAATTAATTTTAATAAAATAATATTTTGATAATATAATAAATATATTAATAATAATTTTAAAAATAAAAAATATTATAATAATAATAATTAAAAGTTATAAATATAATATGAAATATATCTGAGTTGAAAGATAGATAATAAATAAAATAAGATTAAATATAACAAAATATTTATTATTTAAAATTATTATGATTAGTGTAAAATAAAAAATTATTATATATTTTTTATAAAGAAGTTATATTTAAAAAATTAAGAATTTGAATCTTAAATTACTATTCTTTTACTAAAATCAATACGACCTAAAAAATATAATCAAATTTTTTTATTTTGTTTCCATTTGATTAAAACATGATTATTTAAAAACAACGTGAATTTCAAGACCGATTTCACCGGTTGGGTGCAGTTATCGAAACAATGGGAAGCAGACAAGAATATTTGATTGGGATTAGGGGGGAGTTAATAGGGTTGCTAGAGAGGGAAGAAAAATGTTGGTTGATTTGGAAAGTCTTGTGCTGTAAAACGACCCCACCACACATTTCTCTTATAATTCTAAACTACACACAAACTAAAGTTAATGAATAAACAAATTACCAAATCCCTTCTATCCCACTTGCAACACAACTTGCCATTCCAACCATAGTTTCCACCTCACATTTCTATAATCATAATCATCAAAATAATAAACACACAAAAAAAAATGATAGAATATTAGAAAGGAGGCAAAGAATGCCAAGTTGACGTTTTTTACGCACCAAGTTGAGTTCAACCAAGCCAAGTTGCTCTATGGAGGTTGGTTCATTGCCACCACAGAAAATTAATACTAATGCAACGTCGTAATCTACACACACGGTACAGAACAACCCTTATTATACAGGAAAAGTCCAAGTCACGTTCCCTTATTTCGATATAATTAATGTACGAATCAGGGTTTCAATTCTGATGTTCTTTCTTGACTAATACGGATTTGAGTACCATATATATATATATGCTTTAGGAATGGGAAAAATAACTAAGAGAAGCTTCAAGGAAACTCGTAACCAAACAATGTTCACCGTCACACACCGACTCAGAATGGATAAACTCTGAAAATTCCATGATGTGTTCGACGTTTATGAAGAAGACTTAAGAATATAAACGTGAAAACTAAGAATATAAACGTGCAGGAAGTAATGTGCTTGAACTGTGTTTAACTGCAAAGTTAATACCATTTAGTTAAAAAGATTTGAACATTCTCATTCAAACATTATGCATGTTGACCATTGCGATGGAAATTTGTTTTCTGAAGACTACGGAGAAACCAAGTAAATTTTATTTTATTTTTACATTAAACAATACTAACATTTTTAGTGGAAAATATTTATTTAGTGACCTCAAAAATATCTCAAAGTCTTTTCTCTCTTTAATCTTTCTTTCATAAGGCTTTATCAATAATTATTGTGGATGACCAAAAGAATAGTCAAATTGGACTTGGATAAATAATCTCTTTATGGAACAGAAAATGTTAATTAAGACTTTCTGCATTTCAAAACAGTAATTTTTTTTAATTATGACACGTTGATTGAGAAGTAATCAATTGATATCGTTCAATTATTGACAAATATACCAAAATTATCAATTGCAGGATAGTATTTTAATTAAATATAAATCGATCTCACGAGAAACAGATTCAATGGAAATTCTCAATTATGTTTACTAAATAGATTAAAATAGATTGGTTTTTGTAATAAGAATTGAATTGAAATTAAATGACAAATAATTGTAAATTATTGAGAAAATATCAATTAAAAGTACTTAGGATTAACTTTTTTCCTTATCCCTCTTTTGTAATGATTATGTCAATTAAGAACATCAATTAACCTAACAATGTTGATGTCACCTACTCAAATAATCCATGTTGATTCCTCACACACAAAATTCATAAGAAAACCTAATAAATGTTGATTCCACAATTAAGAGATTTTCCAAGCATTAGATTTAAGGTGTTTAAGCAATTGATACATTCATTCTATTCCTGACAATTAACGTAACAAATATTCTTACCAGTGATCTAGGATTCAAGATATATTTTACAATCATACCTCAAACATCAAGAATAAATAATTCCAAAGCATAAAGGATAAGAATAACAACATCAAAGCATAGATTAATATCTCAAAATATCACCATGATACAAAAGAGTTCAAAGAAAGTACATCAAATCCCAAGAGAATGAAGTTAGTCACTCATGTTGGTCATTTCAATGCTCTAATGGATGAAGAAGTGAATAATTGATGAAGATTAGACAAAACCTTAACAGTAGTCGTGTCTCTTCCTCTCCAAGTTTTTTTTTCTCAAAACACACTTATCTTTTTAATTTAGTTTTTAAATTTTTTTAGTTACATTCTTGTTTCTCTTTTTAATGTAAGTGGTGTTTTACTAATTTTTCTTAATTATATATACGTAGGAATATTGTTGGACTTCTAAATTAAATTAAAAAAAAAATCAAAGGATTATTTTAGTATGGAAAGAGTATTTCAAAATGTTGATTGAAAATATAAGTGACACTTTTCTTAAGAAATATGAATTTAAAAAAAACATGAGAAGTTATATTTATGCCTTAAACATTTGTATTTTTCAGTAAAGGCTTATCTTTCCTTAAAACCTAAATACCTCTCTCAATTAATAAATCCGGAAAGGATTTTATCACGAATTGAGGTTACATTATTGGAAGGAGACACAAAATTAAATTATAAAACTAAGGAGTTCGTATAAGATAAAAAAAGAGAGAGAAAATATATATCAAGTCTAGTTTAAGTAAATTTAAGGAGTTTAAAATAATTTAACTCAGCTATATATAGCACGAAAGATTTTGTAATTGACAAAATCGTGAATAAGATTTGAATCTTGATTGAAATATATATCTATATTTCGTATATTTGACTACATTCTTTAGCATGATTATTTTTGAAGCAATAATTAATTGTGGAAAATCAAATAACTTATTAAGCATAAAAATAAATTTTCATTATAACACTTTAAAATTTAATATAACATATTAAATATTCTTTAACGATTAAAATTTTTCATTAATCATCAAAAAAATTTCTTAATTTTAAAAAAATTACATCTTGGTTACAAGTAACAATTTATCAAACATATCTGGAAATTAGGTGTGTGCACGTCCATGTTACTCTAAATTTCACTTTCGAGATCATAATGTAAAATATATAATAAAAATAATATAGTCAACTTTATTCTTTTTTTTTCAATAATAATAATAATAATAATAATAATTTAATGTCAAATTAGATATCTGATTTTTGTTTTGTAGAATATATAGAGTAACTTTTGTTTAGTAAATCTTTATAAAATTGGTTGTATACTCAGATTTTAATAATTTCTCAAATAAGTATTCTAAACGAAAGCGTGTACTTTAATCCAATATAATTATTGAATATTTTTACTATTTGAATTGGTTTGTGAACTTCCTCACACTTACCAAAATTCATTTACCAATTAAAAATTGTTCAAAACAATTTAACTTTCTATTATGTTTAAGGAAAAAACAAAGTATGCATCAAGATTTAAACAGTTTTATAATTATTTTCAATATATTAAATTTATTATATAATAAATTACATTTACAATATATAATCATCATACTGACATCAATAACAAAAGATTTTCATTCCATATTGTTTACTTTGTGAAATGAAAGTAAAAAATAATAATTTGGTGTTGTAGGAATGGCATAAATCCAAATAGAAACATTATCTTGTTCTACATGAAAAAGGATTTTACATCACAGAAAGAAGATGAAAATTGAATTTGAAAATGAGCACACCATAGATTGGGTGCAAAACAAGCAGTGGCAGACCTTGATCAGACTGAACAGCCAGTAGAATAAAAAATAAATGGAAGAAAGAGATAGAAGTACATATATTATATGTATATACACGAATCATATATCATATATTATATGTCACGTTCATTAATTTCAACCATTGCAGTCTGATATTGAGTTCTCCAAAAACCAAATCTTAACGGTGTCGGTGTCCACCAATTTCAAACACGGAACGTGGTTCGAACCCGTATTCGAAACAAAAATAAACGCAGAAGGAAAAAGAAGAAAGAGAAAGAGTTTGTTTGTTCAGTGTTGACTTGCCATGGTTTCAGCGATCTGAGCCAGGGACTGTAAATTGCACCGTACGATTGTATCCACGAAGACGCAAGTCTCCTCCTTAGTGTTACCGGGCGGTACGTCAACGACGTAGGACTCGATCACAACTGTCCCTCCGTTACTCCTAAGGCGGTGGTCGCCGCCGACGACGCTGAAGCTCATCACGTGGCGCTCGTCGTCGAGGATCTCGAGCCGCTCGGTGCTCGACACGGCCGGGAGCCCGGAGACCACGCGCACCTCGCGAAGCGCGCCGACGCGAATGCCATCGCCGGCGACCACGTTGCAGCTCTTCACGAAGTGCTTGTACCCCTGCGGGTTGTCGAAGCGCCGCACCACCGGCCACACGACGGAGATCGGCGCCTCGATCGCCTGGATCACGACGGAGCAGCACTGGCCGGGCCCCACCGCGTGCGCGTGGTGGCGTCCCACCGCTTCCGGCACGCTTCCTTTGGGCAACAGACGGCGAGTTGACGGCGCGGTCTGCGGCGGCTTGGGACAGTTAACGCCGTTTGCGATGGCGGTGGATGGGTCGGTTGTAGGATTGAACCGGTGGAGTTGAAGAGGGCAAGTCATTTGTAGTTCATGGAATGATAATAGTAATTTTAGATATGTTTCCCTAAATTTCTCTCCACCAAAACAAAAATATTGGTTTTGTGATCTTCTGAGGAAAGGGTTTGTGCATAAATAGTTCTTGTTGTGTGAACAAGCATACATATATATTTGGAGGATTTTGGAAGATGAGGCTAGCCTTGCTTTGTGAAGTTTTGAGTTAATTAATATTTTTCCAGTTCAAGTTGGAGTATTTTTTTTCTTTCCTTAAATGATTAATCTTTTAAAATAAATAAAAAATTTTATTAAAAGATAATTTCTGCTTAACCCCTAATCACATATAACATATGTTGTTTTGCACATTGAAAGTAAAAATAAATTGTTAATGACATATTTAAGATATAAAAGGGACAACATCCTATTATTTAATAATCACATTGAAGTTGGAGTGGTTTGATAAAGAGAAAGAGGGTTACCTTTCTCTTTCTTTTGTTGATGTTGTTTTTGGTTTAGAAGAAAGAGGGTGGCAAAGAAAGAAACATAAAGAGAATAGAAAATTGGTAGCATTGAATTGTAGCAGGCAAGTGGATCCTCAACTTGCAACTGTCCTTGAGACTAGGTTTTCCCAATCATCCCATTTCTTTATCCCAAACTCCAACTTTGCCACTCCATCTATTATTATTTTTTCTAAACTTGCTAAAAAATATTGTTTCTTAAACCACCAAACTTTGTTTTGCCCTCATAGTCTTCTTAAAAGTTAAAACCATTCTATTTTTAAATACCCAATAGTGTTTGCATTTTTATCTCCATTTTCTTTCTCCTTGTTCCATTTTGATTCACTGTGTTCTTTCTCTTGCTTCTTTCCTATTTTTCCCATTGTTTCTTTTTTCTTTTTGGTCCATTTTCCCTTTATTTATAAATCAAAAGGCGTGCATGAATTCCTAGGGTATCTTTGGAAGTAGATCATGTTTGGAAGAACAGTGTAGAAGCTCCGGCATATGAACAAGTTGATAGCGATTTTGTTCAAGTGGTGTATATTTTTTTTTTTTTTTGGTGAAAATAATTTTAAAAATGGGATGATATTTTTCTCGTGTTTAGTTTTGACGTAAAGAAACTAGTTGGCGTGATCGGCTAATACATAAAATATATCATGTTGTAAAAGTGTTTGTATATTTTTCAAAATTGTCTTTTTTTATGGATTCATAAATTGTCTTTTGAAAGAGACAATTTTATTTAAAACATTGCCGTACGCTGCAAAGATTTAAACTGAGATTTCATTATTTTCAAAAGAATCAACTCCTTTTACTAAAATCAAATCTCGATCAAAGTACAAGTTTTCAAGGTAAACTCGGGTTAACAGCCACAGGATTTGGATTAATCTAAAGGTTAAATTCTATATTTATTAGATGATATTTTTTTGCGTTATTCTAATTAATTTATTTAAATATCATAATAATTTCTAGACTTATAATAATTATTTTACTGGACGGATTTAATTATACTTTCCCTTTCTTTAACTTGACATAATGTATATAGTCCTATAATACTTCTGGGTTTAATACACTTTAGTATTTTACCTTTTTTTCAACCAATTATTTTACTACTTTTGAAATTGAGTAATTTTTCTTTTTAGAAATTTACTACATATAACTCTTGATTTGTTTTTGTAAGATATATATAAATATATTTTATTATTATATTTTAAGTAATATAATTAGTTTCTTAAATATATGTTTGATATTATTAATTATCTAATTAATTTTCTAAAATTAAGACTTCTATTACATTATATTTACTCTAAATGAGTGAAAGAGAAGTAATTAGACATATATTATGAAATCATTTTGAAAATTTAGACATAAATTTAGAATGTTGAACTTTGCCTCCTTTATTTCCTTCCTTCCTGGTTAAAGAATCTATTAGGAATGAACAGTTTTAAGTTATGCTTGTTAAATTAAGCAACGATGGATATAAATCTCACCTTCACCAAAGAGGGAAGAAATTAATTTTTAAAAATTTTTAGCAACACCTATGTAACTCTATTGACCCCAGTCCCGTATTTAGGATTGGGGTGATAATGATGTCGGAATTTGATCCTCCACCACATTACCTATCCCCTTATAGATGCAAACTTCCTACTTACAAAATTAAAAAAAAAAAAAAAAAAAAAAAAAAAACTAGAGTCTGCCCAAATCGAGAAAATTTGAAAAGAAAAATAAAAACTGGGCTTTCCATAAAGAAGCATGTTCAGATGTGGGCTTGGGCTCTTATTGCTGCTCTTCCTGTCTCTGATGGCTCTGTGTTGATCAAGGAAAGTCTGAAAAAAAGTGTCACCCAATGAGCATAACATTTAGAATTTGTTTCTTCTAATTTTTAAAGAAAAATATGCTTGAAAATGAGAAAACAAAGTACATTCACTAGCCATTTAAAATACTTCTTTAACTCATTTCCAATTATATATTTTTTACCTTCTCACTTTATACACTTTCTCATTTTGAAAAAAATAAAAATAAAAAAAAATCCAAGAACCATGTTTGCATTAATATCACTTGGCCAAAACATGAGCAAGTATGAACAATCTATATTAAGAGACACATGCATCTTCATACTAATAACCATGGGGTTCAGACAATGCATGTTACATATAGCTTTTATGTCTCATCAATGAGGTGGCAAGTTGGTCGCAGCATGAAAGTCACTTGGTTAAGGACTGTAATTTAGAAACAAATGTAGGAAAAAAGGACATTGAAGTATATATTTTAAGTTCCTATTCTTAAGCTTCAGAATAATGAGAGTGCAAATTTTCGAAGTTAGATAAAATGTTAAGTGATCTATCAGATTATGATTAATCATGTAGGTGAGGATTATGATTTGCAGCCTCTGATAATAAGGATGAACATCTTACTAGAACATGTTATAAATTACAAAAGTTGGTCAAACATGACGCATGTTTCATCCTAAATTTGAATGCTAACATATATAACCAAACACTATGCAGAGAATTGCATGTGCAAAAATTTAATACACATAGTGCATTATGGAACAATATAGTATAGATATGTTTCATAGTTATAGGAAAAAGAGAACTTACCTTTTATTTGTTGGTAGAAGAAGCTTTTTCATTCTTCATGATCATATGGAACGATTTAGACCTGTCCTCCGCAACCATTTCCCTGAGTATATCATCTTCAATCTTCTCAGCTTGCCACTGAGAAGGGTCCTCCACAAAGGCCTCACTGAATATCATGCTTGACACCCACTCTTTCCAAGTGGTTCTTCGGTACTTATCTTCCTCCAATGAACCTGTCACCAAGAGCTGATACACATAAACAACCTTCTGCTGACCAGGACGAAAGGCACGAGCAATGGCTTGCTTAGTTTTTGAAGGGTTCCACTCTGAATCCAACATAATCACCCGAGAAGCTGCTGTCAAACTAATGCCTTCAGCACAAGCTGTAATAGAAGCTAGGAGTATCTTTGCTACTCCGCCAGGCTCGTCAAACTTATCCATTACCCTTCCTCTTTCAAAGAGCTCTAGTTCGCCAGTTAGTACCAACACTTCCTTACCTCTTTGCCATCCAAAGTACTTCTCAAAATATTCCAGGAATAACTTGACAGGTGCAATATTGTGACAAAATATAAGAACTTTCTCCTTCTTTACAACACGGTACACAAGACTCAAAACAAATCTTACTTTGGATCCTATTTTTAGATCAAATTTGCATTTTTCTAGATCCATCAATTGCTCAGTAGTAAAAAACTTCTCAGCACATACTGCTGTTTTGACCAACCAAGGATGTATTGACCCAAGAGTTATCAAAAGCTCCAGCTCCAGAGGGTAACCATTGCACTCGGCCATTTTCTTGTGCAGTTTAAGCAAAATCTCATGTTGTGTATCAGTTGAATTCATTAGCAACGTATAAATTTGTAAACCAGGTAGACCATCAGAACTCCCACCTTCATAAACATCTATGAAACCATTTGTCACATTTCTCAACATCTTTAGACCCTGCTGTCTCTCCCTACCTTTGCCTGAATCAATCTTCTTAGCAATTTTGTCTAAGAAGAATTTTCTAGCCCGTGACTCTAATAAATGACTTGCTTTTTTTGCCACTTTTCCTTTCCTCCTGTATTTCGGGTCTAATGCTTTCAGTACTTCATGAATAAACTTTGGTCTTGCCAAACACAGAGTGTTGAAGTATTCACAGAAATTGTTTTGAAACAATGTACCAGAAAGCAGTATTCTCAATTTTGTCTGTACTTTCATCAAAACCTTTCTCAACCTTGATTTAGTGCTTCGGGGATTGTGCCCTTCATCCAGTATCATGATTCCAGGGCTTTCCCTCAATACTTTAGCCATGTATTTTCTGTGTGCAAACTTTGAATCCTCACGCATCAATGTTAAAAATGAAGTATAACCCATGATTAGAACACTGGGGTGTGAATGCCATTTTTGTATCTTCTCAAGGCAATCCAAAACATGCTTGACATCATCAGTGGGCTTGGGAACTCCAGGAAGAACAACCGGTGATTTCTGCTTGAATACCCGGTAGGTTCTGCGACCGTGAATGAGATACACTGGTATAGGAATATCCCACTTGATAAATTCCTTGTACCAAGTATAGAGTGTTGTTTTTGGAGCAAGGACTAGAGGCCTCTTTCCTGGGAATAACTTCAAGTAGCTAACAAGAAAAGCAATAATGAGAAAAGTTTTTCCCGCACCAGGAGTATGAGATACCACACAGCCACCTCTTCTTTTGGATGCTGCTTCCATAAGCCCGGGTTCCATGGAACCTGCAATGTTTTGCCAAAGAAACTCAAAGGCTTTCTTTTGATGGGCATGCAACTTTGTTCGAAGTTCGGGAATCAATGCCCAAACGTTATCACTTGCTTGAGACACAGGTCCCTCGGGAGAATCTCGGGTGGGGAAAAGATCCAAGTCATCATCCTCATCAGCCTTTGTTCGTGAATCTTCTTCAGCATTGTGCTTCTCCTCTTGGTGCCATACCGAATGTTGAATCTACCAAATAAAACCAAAACAGGTGAATGAGGTTAACTTCATGAACTAATTTACTGCTGGATAGATTTTGGAATATTATGCATATTCCTTCTAAAATCACACTTTGTACAAATTGCATGATTGCAAACATGAAAAATATCTTCCTAATTGGTTATAAATAAAGATGCTGAGGTAATAGCCTTGTAACAGCCTCAGCCCTTGTGGGAGTAAGTCTACATTTCTCCATAACGATAGGAGCCTCATGCGATAGACATACATATTTAATGCTTATTGAATCCATCCAGGTGCAAGGTGAAGAAAGCAAAATACAGCAATAGAAGAAAATTCCATACAAATCCACATTTGAGTTAAACTTCACTTACAAAGGGTGGTGTAATATATTTGATCTCAGTGCTCACGAAGCCACATCTATAGCAGTAGATTCCAATTTCTTCATTCATTCTGAAATCATGTGGACAGCCTTCATTTGGCTTTTCCACAGCCTCAGTGATAACAGGAGCATTTGAATCCTGATTAAACAGTTAAATTAGCCTTAGGAACAAAAAACAAATACGGGAAAGCGAAGGCCAAATGGTCACACACCTCTTCTAGATAACACGATGCCAATGATACTTCTAGTTCTCTCCACAACATATCCATTTCAGATACTTCTTCCGCATCCTCTTCTTCACCAAGTATTTCTGTTTCCATATTTTGCCCAATGCTACTAGTTGTGTTGCTTTGTTTCCACTGGTCAGTGATAGATGGTTCTTCTTGTGTCGGTCTTGTGTTAATATTCTTCAAGTACGAGTTTATCAAATCCTTGTAGGCAGCTGCATTTAGTGTTCTGTCTTTATAATTGTATCTTTTTTCTTCTTCATGATCTCTACTTCTTGAATATGCTGCATGATATTTTTTCCTTTTAACTCCTTTATTGGATCTAATCCCTTCCCATTTATTTCCAAGATCCACCATATCATCCAAACCACATAAACTCTTCCTCTGTGACTTAGGGGCACCATAACTATAATGATATCTTGATGACAAATCATCACTCTTTTCTACATCATCTGAATTTGCAGGATGGTTATGAGGCTCAAAATTTAACAATTTATTATCTTTCCTCTTTGATTCAGTCATATTACTTAGATGATAATATTTGGAAGAACGTTCAGGGGAATCATGACCATAACTTCTAGTAAGCTTGTCATCCAGATCATCACAATGTTCAACGAGTAGTGGATCATCTTGATCAGGAAGAGGAATAATAGCAAGTTGATTTTGACGTTCATTCTGATCATCTTCTCCTAACTTTACCTTCTGGTTTTTAGCCTTCCTCGTTTTGAACACCACAAGCTCACGGCACGAACTCACCTTCTTAATCTTTTGACGATTCTCAGTAGCCCCTTTTAGAGAGTTCTTGTCCAAACCAAACAAGTATGCTAATGGCATATGTAGTTCTTCGTCCTCGTCGTCATCATCTTTCCATGTGTCTATTTTCACTGGTGGTCTGTTTCTGAAAGAACCAACATCAATCTCAGAAACATTATCACAACCAAGGTAACGCTCTGGTTGTACATTCCGGCGCTTGGAACGCCTTAAGCCGTCAACATTATAGCATAGTAATAATTTTTCTTCATGAGACTCCTGTACATGATCAATAGGTGTAGCTACTTGAGAAACAATCGGTACTAACATGCCATTTTCTGTTCTGAAATTCACAACATCAATGTGAGACTCTTTGTTCAATGAAGTGCTCACGGTATCCCTTCCCAAAATTTGATAAACTAGCTTTTCTTCTAAAGATCTTACGCAGAATGAAAACTTCTTTAAAACTGATGCAACGACTAACCATGAAAGATCACATAACACTCTTCCAAGAAGCAATTTAGTGTGTGATATAATGGAACAGTCCTCAGATGTTGCCCACCGATAGTGCTGATCTTCACAAGGAATATTTTCAAGTTTCTGGAGGATGGATATTTGTTTGATTCCAACTACTTTAATCTCCTTGCTAATAGTTCTTAGCTCAGCACCAAGTGAACCTTGATGAACATAGAAATTGACAAAAAATTGACACGAGCACTCAGAGTCATGAGGTTTTCTTTGTACAGAGCTTATTTTAGCATCACTCCAAACCTAAAATTTAAAAAGGAAAGAAACTGTAAATCATACTTGTCATCTTAGAAACTAAATTCTCAAATTAAAGCAGAGTTATTATCTAAGTTGCAATAACAGCAACTGTGATAATAATGAACACGTGCAAGGTGAGGTTCCAAAAAGAAAATATTCAAGAAAAGGGATAAGTCGTAGTGATTGCCTAGTAAATTATAAAGTGTCAAAATAAATGAAGAACAAGATACTATCTATTGCAGAAATACATAATTTATTCAAACATCAGTCTCTATCTTGTAAAGAAACATGCAAAAATTTAGAAGAGATCTAACTGTTGTTTCAATGTCAGCATGAAAATTTAATTGATTTCCCTTCATTCCCAGTCACCCCAAATACACACATAGAATCAGTTATATTGCATTGGCCATGTGAGGTGTTGTAAAACTCTTGATGTATTACCTCAGGTTCAAAAGATACAATGTATAAAATTCAGAAGAAAATGAAGACTTACTGGATCAATAACAATTGCATCTGAATCATTAGATTGTTGAGGGGCAGATAGCACACATACGTCAACTCCAGGACGCAGAAAACGGGAGCAATCAGTTAAAGTAGCTTTCCTTGACCTTACCCTAATGTCTGAGAAGGGTCCTTTTTCCATAGTCACCACATGGTTACTATCTACAAAATGCATGGACATAGTTCCTGCCTCAATCTTTATGAAATCCACAGTTTGCCATGAGCCAAAGGCAACTGCTTCAAAGGCTGCTTGCAAAAAAAAAAAATGATGAAATCAATCGGTTAAAAGAAGAGTTTTTTGGAAGGAATGTGAAATTGAGAATATATGGTTGTGAAAAACAGTAGACAATACCCAAAGTCACACAAAACTTGGTCAATCAAGTTTCAAGTTTGTCTAATAAATTAAAGTCTATTTTCTCTTTGAAAATGAATTATAACTGTTTGGTATGTATTCTGGCCACTATTTTTTTTTTTTTTTGCCCTGCATAGTAGTGATCAACTCAGAAAAAGTAAAAGAGAAGAAAGACTTACGGTGAACATTGATGGAATGCTTCAGTTGATCTAAACGTCTCTTCCTGTGCGACATGATTGTGACAGCCAACAAGGCAATGTTGTAAGCTTCTGCAGCAGTATTAGCCACACAAACTTTCACTTACAAATCTTCATTTCGTATCTGTTGACAGAATAAACAAGTTAATCATGACTAACAAAAACAATGGACTCATATGCATTATGTCATTGTACATTCTTTTTAAAACACGTTGAAGAAAAAAAAAAACTTCTTTCTCATATGTTATTTTCTGCCTCCAAAAAAATTAGACAAGTGAGGAAGGAGAAGATGCAGTGCCTATAAATATGCACAAACATAGTTACCAAAAAAAAAAGTGTAAGAAGATAAACTAAACTTAGATAAACTGTCATTTTTTTTTCAATAACCAACCTCCCAACATGAAAAACACACCTATGCATCCAAATGATGCTGTGCTGGTTAGAAGAGTAAAGACATTGCACATGTGAAGAGTTATAAGCTTCAGCAGATAATTATGCATTGAGATGACGAATAAAAACATCATTATCTGTGATACCCACTTGTGCATACACAGAAATGGCATCGGTGTTTTATTCCCCAAAGGCCAACAAAATAAAGTAAAAAAAAAAATGTAATCTTGTTTCACGGAAAATGGTTTGTTTTGATCAGAAGTCTCAAAGAATCCAAATATTCAGCATATCAAGATCATGATCAATATAGCAGACTTTAAATTGACTTGAAAAATGTATGAAACTATGCCATCACGGGTATGTAGATTATCTGGGAAAGGCAGAGGAAGCACGGTGAGGAAATCTATCCTTACCACAGGAGAAAAGCTGATTCTGAGAAGAATCTTAACACGACACAGTCTCAAGCATCAGTGAGGAGAGAGAAATAAAAAACAGAGAAGAGAGAGAAAAGAGTGAAGTGATGTTGAGGCCGGCAATATCTAGGTATAAAACAACTAATTCTGATGTGAAATATTTTGAAGTAAACAAATCAGTTTATTAATTTTTACTATATTTCAATTCAATTTAATAAGTTCATAAATAATTATTTTTAATTGATAGTAAAACCCATTTACTTACAAATTTTGAACATTACTAAGATATTTTTCTATTTAATTTGTATATAGTATAAAGTAATATATTCATCCAAAAATCATTAATATTATGATACATAATTTTTATTGATTAAAATATTTTATTATCAAATTTTATTGTAATTATTAATTGTATTAAATTAAATTAATTTTTGTAAAAATATATTTAATAACAATTAATAATTAATGATACATTTAATTATGAGTTACATGGGAGATTTGTAATTATTATTTTTTTTATTTAAAATTTTTAAACGGTTATATTATTTGTTTATCAAATTTTATTGTAATTATTAATTGAATTAAATTAAATTAATTTTTGTAAAAATATATTTAATAACAATTAATAATTAATGATACATTTAATTATGAGTTACATGGGAGATTTGTAATTATTATTTTTTTATTTAAAATTTTTAAACGGTTATATTATTTGTTTAAAATATAATTTCTGGATTTTTAATATAAATCATATATAATAATTGATTTTTTCTTTTATTTATTTTTAAAATCATATATAATTTCTTCTATCATTTAAAAAAATAAATAAATTAATGAATAAAAATAATAAAAAGTTATCATTTTTATTTCACATCAATAATATAGGTTCTCTCTTCCTTGAAATTATTTTGTACATTTATTTATATTTGTATAACGTTAAGATAAATATTTATATTTTAAAATTAATATATATATATATATATATTAAATTTAATTAATTAAAATAAAGAGTATAATAAATATACAAGTATGAATAAATTAATTATTTTTAAATAATGAAAATAATAATAATTAAAATTTTAACCATCGGAACTAAATTAAAATAAGAAAGCAGTTTCTTCGGAAAAATAAGAAAATTACTCATAAAATGAGTATTCTTTTTCAAGAAAATAACAACTCAATAGCTTTTTCTTAGAAAAATAAATATAATTAACATATCTAGCAGTAAAAATGACATTTGAGGAAGTAAAATAAAGAGTGTAAATTGGTGTTTTTGTTACTCTGTATAGGAAGTAATGATGGATGTAATGGGGTAGTTGAGCATGAAGTGAATATACATCGGAAGAGTAAATGGGCACGTGGAAAGGTGTGAACTGTGAAAAAATAAAATATATATATACAACGAAGCATTGCAGCGAAAAACTCCATGAAAAAACAAAACACTGAGTTTTGTGTAATTACATGAAAGAGAACGATGGTTATTCGCGGTTAAACGCTCTAGTACCAATGTTCGGAATCAAACAAAATACATTCAATGCATGTCACTCATGTCGATGTTTCACATTTTTTAATTTTAAGAATTTATTTATATATTAGTTATTTTATATAGTTTTTAAAATCCTTATTGTTTTTTTTTTAATGCAAGATTTTATAAATGCTTGTACTTAAAATTAATAATTATTATTTCAAAATACATGTTTTAATACAAAATGTTTAAGTTAAAAGGTAAAATATCTTTGTTTTAAATCTGATGCGTTAATTGAATGAGATAATTTATTATAGACATATGCTAGGTTTGACAAAAATATTATAAAAAAGAAAGCTATTATATGAGTTTAATAAATACATATTGTTAATATAAAGTTACATGTTTATATTAAGTTAAAATAATTTTAATACTATATTTATTTAAAATAATAATATCATTATTATAATACTATATTTACTCATATGCTATAAAATTTAGTTCACTATTATTTATTCATATCCTAAAATTAAGTTCATAAAGTGAAAAAGTAAAGATGAAAACTTTTTTTTATTGATATTTTAGGAGTAATTTTTAGTATAGAAACTGAGTTAATATGAAATTAATATTAAAATATTAAGATAATATTATCTATTCTCAAAAGAAGGAATTAGAGTATGTTCAAATAGTCATTTATTAAAAAAAAATAGGAAAATGTAATAATTTAAATAAGTAAAATTAATATTTAAACATAATATTAATGTACGAATTTTATTAAGGTGAGATATTTATTCTTTTTGTTTGTTGTATAAGTAACAAAGTAATGTAAAAGTGAGAATAAAAAAAATCAATGATATCAATTCAGTATTAATTCGATTAAATATTGAGAAAAAACAATTAAGAAAAATGGTATTATCTTCAAATAATATGAGGTTTAAGTGATGAAGAAACAAAATCAAATTTTTTTTCTATCTTCATTAGGTAATAGAGATATCTATAATAAATATGAATCAGTTCAACTTGAAATGATGGTCTAAAGTTCACTGATTTGTTTTAATACAAGTTAGATTAGTTGGTTTCAAACAATAACCTCAAAATGACAAATATTTTTATGTGTGGATTATGTTAACATAAAGTGAAGACCTGAAAATGATCAAATTAGTGCTTTATGTATATGTTAGTGTTGACAAGCATAATAAGATCATTATGTTCTACCCCATGATAATGAAGATTGGATCAGATAATTATTAATAGTATGTACATAGTATACTAAAACAGGTAATATTGTATGTTTTAATCTCATAGTAATAAATCTTTCAAATAATATATATTTATATATTGAAAAAAATATAATAAGATATGATTTCAATAATAAATATATGATTTTGACAAATGTAAGTAAATAATTTTTTTGAATTATCAGTTGATTTTTATTTTTCTTTTTAATGTATTATTTATTTTGCATCTTGTAGTCTTAATTTCATAATAATATATTTTTTATTAGATACATAATATATTATATGTATATTATTATAAAATAATTGTTAGTCTATTTTCATTTGTTACTAACGATTTTTACAATCTTATAATTATGTTAACTAATCATAAAATATATTATTAATAACAATGTGATTGATTTGATAATATACGTAACAAAATGCAAAAATATTCATTAATAATTGTAAGTAACTACGGTTGATGACATAGACTAAATATCTGCAAAAGTTTTTTTTAATTCTAATAAATATAAAAAAAATCGTACTTTTTAACAGATAAATCAATAAGCATATCATTAATAATATTATAATCAATTACGTAAATAATAATAAGGTAAAGTATGTCTTAAATATGCTACATATATCACATGTTGATAATTTAAAATAAACTTTGTGAAAATGTTGATATGTAAAATTTTAGTTTGTGTGTTAAAATTATTACAGGGATTTATATATATATATATATATATATATATATATATATATATATATCAATTTCAGTGAGAAAAATCATTGAATTTTTATAAGAACAATATGAGTTACAAATATTTAAAATTATATGTTTTGGAAAATAATAAATGAGTATTTAATACTTTATTGAAAATCAATCTTTGAATTATATACATGTAACTGTAATTGTTGAGATTAATAAGAAAGAGATTAAATATATTTCCAAAAAAAGTTATAACTAAAGAATAAAAATATTTACTTATTTCAATAATCAATCTTAAAACATATTCTTATTAGTAATACTATCTCATCAATGACATTCTGATAATGATATATCTTCTAGTTTTTTTTTTTTTTTGCATTCACAGGAAATATTCATTCATAATATTATCAATTACGTTAATTAATTATGAAAAAAATATTAATACTGGTTTATAAGATAAATTTATTTTATAAAAATTTATATTTTTATTAATAATTTTATATTAAAACAGACATGGTAATGTTTAAATTTTAATCTACAAGTATTAAAAGTAAATAAGGTTTTTTTGTGTGTAGAAACATTGAAAAAAATAATTACATTAAATTAAGACAAAAATTGGTGGAAAACACTGAGTGGTGGGGTAAGCGACAAAAACGTATCATGATGATGAGTTAAACCCAAAGACTGTGATGACTGAGTGGTGGGTTCCACATCTCAGAACTCATCATTTTGTTCATGTTCTGTACAGGGGGACATAAAATATTAGGATTTTATGTTGTCAAAAACAAAATATAAGGATTTTATTAACCAAACAGTTCTTCACAATGTTTGTTAAAAAATAATAAATATTTCTCATAAAGATTTCGATAAATAACTTCATAATTATTATGAAAAGTATATTAAGGCCCGTTTCAATGTTTAGGGTTTTTAATTTCTTAATTAATACTTTAATCAGTATTTGTTAAAATTAAAAGTGAAAATACAATTAAGTATAAAATTTGACCACAGATTTATATGAAACATTTTCCCCCTCCAATCCTATTTTACCCAAGAAAATTACAAAACCAAAATATTTCTAAATTATTCATCAAAGTATATTTATTTCAAAACAAGACAGAATTCTGAGGCCGAATTTTAAGTTTATGGGAAATTGGCTGAATTTTTATTTAGATCGAACGTTAATTTGATTTAGAGTTTAATGATCTATATAGTATTTAATCATACCAAACGTAAATATTCGAATGAAAAATACATTTTATGCTTTGATTAAATTATAAAATTAAATGAATGTTTAAAACTAATATACGAATTTAAAGAATGTTAAAAATTCAGAAGAGACAGATACTAATGAAGCTAACAATGAATGAAATAATAAATTAGAAGAAATTTTGTTCATAATGGCATGTAGCAAATGCATGATGCTTTGGATTACGTATAGAATGCATGCACGTAAATGTGTTAAACTTTTACCAGATTTGATTTACTCACAAAGCTTTCATTGCAACGGTGTCTCTAGTAACAATGATCATTGATCTATAAGAAAAGAAAGAAAGAAGGTATAATTAAACATATAAATTCATTTAAATTTGCATCATTTAATATATTTGATTTAAATAGTATACATTTAAACAGATAAATATAAAGTTGTATAATTTCTATGATAACATGCATTGATATATATCGTTCTATATTTAGTTGTATAATTTCTATAATCACATATAGTTGCATTAAAATTTGTATAATTTCATTATAATATTGATTTAAATATTAGAAAATTGCTTACTTATTTTCATGGCAATTAGAACACCTTGCAGGGGAAGAACATGGACAAAGAGAAAGAGAGATTTGTTGAACTCCACACACTCACACCTTAGAGACAGAGGAAGAGAATTGATCTTTTGATAACTCACCAAATTGATTTTTTGGTCCAGTGTATTCGATGCATTTTATAAGCACCATATAATAATAAAATATATTTCTTTGACTGGAATTTAATAATTCAATATATAAATATAACTATGAAAAACGCAAATAGGAAAGTCAAAACTATATTATATTTTTATATATTAATTAAAAATAAATATATTCAAAATATAAACTTTTAATGATCAAAGTATAAAAATTCATTAAATATTGATTTTTATAATAAATATAATTAATCGTTTTCAATCACTTAAAAATAGTCAATAAACTTCATATTTTAATCATTAATTTTTTTTAATATAATAATATTTTTTTAATTAATAGGAAGTCAAGTTTATATATATATATATATATATATTAAATTTTAACATAATTTATATTTAATTAATTAAATTCACTATTAAGGTTATAATTCATTAAATTAATAGTTAATAATGATAATGAATATTTTTAATGGAATATATTTAAAAATTAAAAATTTAATTAATATTCTTAATCATTAAAATAATCTCTTCAATAAAATTGAACTCAATATTATTGTAATTATCCAGAGTATGTTAATAATTTATTCAAATTAGATACCTGTATTATACATATTATAGTTAATATTCTAAGTAAGTTAAAGTTTTTATGATTTTTTTAAAAATTATAATTTGGATAAAAAAACTTTTGTTACTTTGATGACACTTGAAACACTTTTGATAATTTATTGGTTTTGTTGTTGAAATTGATTTAAAAATAAAATTAAAAAAGATGTATACTTTTTTCTTCTCATTTAATAATGGATAAAATCAAGCGAAATAAATACAACCTTATCTAAAAGGTTGTTTCTCAATTTTATCAAGAGCACAATATCACTTTATTTTAAACTTTTGTATCCAAATAAATAGTTTTCTTTATTTCTTTATATTAATTTTAGATTTATTGGTTAACCTAATTAACTGTACTTAATTTTTGGTTAATTTTTAGTTTTATTTCTTTCCACTAGATTTTGTTTATTCGTGAGTACTTTTCTCGTCCTAACAAAATGCTAAGGTTCTGCCAGGGAAAAAAGAAAAACATCGTGCTAAAGTTCAGAGGAGGAGTTATCCTATATAAATGAATGGTTATATCATTTTTTACGTCAAACTCACTTCACAATATTTCAAATGCAAAAAGATAATATAGAAAACTATAAAACACTTCTTTCAACACTCATTGCCCCATGAGTGTTTCGCTTGCAAACTTTTATAAATATGTTTTACTATAACATTTGTAACATCTTTTTATAAAAAGAAGAATTATATAATGTAGTTATTATTTGTCTTAATCAGTTATTTAATTAGATTATATAATAATTATTTTTTATAAGAATAAAATAAAATTTGTCTGCTAAAGCGAGTTAAAAATAAATAAATTTAAGATTAGTTGGTTTCAACTTTGGAAGCTCAAGTCTCTAGAAGATAAAGATACATGATATAGTTGTTATAAATTTAAATATTATTTTATACATTCGAATAAAATTATAAAAGTATAATAGAAACAGAGTAAGATTACATTTAAAAATTAAAACTTAGGTAACTTTATTATTTTTTCAAGTAAAACTTATGTATATAGAAAATAATATATTTATTGAATGATGATAAATGACTTGTTATCAAAATCTATAGTTTGAAATATTTATTTTAATGAATTTATATTACAAGAATATGCTCTTTGAAATGTAAGAAGTAGCTTGGCAATGTAAAATTGAATTATGTCCAAATTAAATTTGATCATTTAATAATTTTAAGAACAGTATAGTAATACAAAATCTAAGTTTGGTCAATTTTAGAATATAATAAATTGCGTATTTTGCTGGAATGGATACGAGCAGTTGGAAGAAGTTCTCTATATTCTATCTCTTCTACCTCAGTCTAGGGACGTAATTGAGATGATAGAAAAACCATGCCCTTGTATCTCAATTCTCTCAATTTTCATACTATCTTTCTTTAACTAACCACTGCCAAACAGACAACCACAAATTTAACTAATTGGTTTGCCAACCAATCTTTTTTAATATCACATATTAGTTGTTGATTGTTCTATTTTGCTAATTTCATATATCAGTAACCAATTCAACCCGTCTGAAAATAGTCTCTGCACAACAAATCGTACAACCAAGGACTACAACCAATAAATAAAGAACACAATAAGGACTGAAACAAAATTCAGAGTAGTTTTTAATATATACATTCGGCTACTTGTTCGGTTTTTATACACAAAAGTAAGCAGTATAATTTACATATACTAGTCTCCCTCTACATGACAAGAAATCTTTTATGAAGTCAGTGCTCAAGATACTGCAGTTGACCCACAAGCACTTTAAACAGCTTACTCCTCGGCTCAACCTATGAAGTTAGAGGCAGTCCAATTTGAACCCAAAGAAACATGTAAATGGAAAGAATTAACAAATGTTGTCAGCTAAATTCTCCAATTAAAAAAATCCTACAGAGAATCAGCATATTTAAAAGAACATAAAGAGAACAAAGTTTTTGTATATTAGTTGTATGATTGTATTCGTCTAGTGCACCTATATATTGCTAAAAGAGGACAACAACCCTGGAGACGGATTGCTAGAGATGATTGGGCGAATTTGAAAATGAGGTAGACTGGACAAAATCCACATCCTCATTCTCATTATAGACCTCTGCACAAAGCCTTTCTCTAGGCATCATTCCCTGCTTGCTTCCATTCCATTTGAATCATGGTTCAGAAGATCGTCCAAATTAAGAAATTGCGGTTCTTCCCCTCCACCATTATAGTCCTCTGGCACAACTGTCTTCATGAAATCTAATCCATAATCAACACCTGATGGGGTCTGCTCCATATGAGGCAAACTTCCCAACAACTTGGCATCTGGATTTTGCAACTGGTAGAAAAAGCTTGAAGATGTATCACCAAGCTGAGGATTACCATCTCCAGGATAACCAATTTGTCCACAATCCAAACCTTGCATCATCCCGGATTCATCAACTGGGTTATTATCTATAAGCCCCAAGAGTTCATCCACCTGAAATAACTCATCCGTGGAAAAGCTCTTCAAGTAATCATCATTAAAATCAAAAGCATCAATCCATGAAAAGTCCACCTGATCTTTGCTTACATCCTCTGCAACCTGTCGGGTGTCATGTGTTCCTTCTCCAGGCCCCGGGTCTGAGTGATCCACAGCTTCATCCTTCGGCTCTAGCTTCATTCTGCTAGTTGGTGTGGGATACTCATAAGCCTTGTGGCAATCATTATAATTAATCTTATCATGGATAGGTCGAGGATTCTCCTTAGCATCCTCAGCATCCTCAGCTGCACAAACCTCTGATCGATTGGATGCAGTAGTAGTGTCCGATGCAGCCGAGGAACAAGATGATGCAGCCAAGGAAGAGGCCTTAAACGATTCCTTGACAGAAGCATAATCTGAGATGTCGGGGAAGTTGAGGCGTGCACATGGACCATACATGGCTCTAGCTGCTTCATCGTAGGCAAGAGCAGCTTCTTGTGCAGTAGAAAAAGTTCCCAACCAAAGCCTACTGCCTCTATTTGGCTCCCTAATCTCACCAACCCATTTTCCCCAAGTTCTCTGCCTGACTCCCCTGTAGTTACAGTCATAGTTTTGAGGTCCTCCTTTACCTTTCATGCATCCTTTCTTTGAACCTTTAGCCGGAGCTTTACGGGTTGATCTACCATCACCTTTGTCAGAATAAAGATGCTCATTGTATTCCTTCCACTTTGCAATAGTCTCGGCCACAGATCTAGAACCATCCCCTCTGCTCCTACTTTTCCTCTTCTTTCTAGAAGAATCCGAAGGCCGCAGGGAAACTTGATCATAAGCACCCATGTCCACAGTCCAAAACTTAGCTACGAAGTCGTCAGCAAAACTCAATAACTGAATTCACAATCTGTAGTTTGAAAAGAAAATTTCAGTAAAACAGTTCCAAAGAACCAAACAAAGCACAAAGGTGCAAAAGCATAAATAGGATTTCGCAACACGCTCTTATTGACTGCAATACAAATAATAAATTCAACCAAGAAACGAATTTTCGTAACCCCCAAGTAATAGATAAAGCTAAAACCAAAGTTTAAAAATTAGAAAAGCCTTTCCCAGCAAATTTTCTCCCTTTCAAACAAAAAATAAAAAATGAAAGCACGAAACAGACAAACAATAACAATGAAATGAAACCTAAAAACAACAATAAAAAGATCACACACAAGAATTAGCAGAAAAGAAATTAAAAACCATGCACCAAAAACAGAAAGCTATTGAGACATGAGAAATAATCCAATGCTACTAACCTAGTAGAGAAAACGCGGTGATTTTAATTTTAGGTGTATCCCTTTGTTTCTGGGTAGAGTTTGTGTTTGTGTTTGGTTTGGAGTGAATAGAGATTTCTTTGGTAGAAATGTTCGTGTTGGTGTGATATGGTTAAGGCGGATTCAGAAAACCTCTGGTCTGCATCTTGTAATCTTTATTTATAACCTTCTCTAGATTTTTCTGATATTTTAAATTGTACCCCCAAAATGGTGACGTGGCGCTTTCTTAGTCGCGTTATCATGCTTCGGACTCCCGAACCAGCTGGCACGTGGCGCTCGAACCTTCCCGAGCCACTAAAACACGCGCGTCGCTTTCTTTCCTCTCAAGTACCTGCTCTATTAATGTCCTTCATCTTTCCCGTGATGCCCCTATTTTTGCGTATATTCTCGATTATGCCATTCTCATATTATATCTCAAATAAATATCTTGTGTTTTTTTACTAAATAAAATATCTAGTGATGTTAATCTTTATTGTAATTATTATATTTTATTTGATATTGCTGCTTCATCCCTGTTGCTGACGCCTGGAAAGCGGGCCTTGTTGTAACGAAACTGGGCCCACGGCCCGATTGTACGAGATCTGCTTGTTAACACTAGTAGCTTTCTAGTTTCTACATTCATGAATCTTATTCTAATTATTGTTATCATTTTAATGCATTAAAATAAAATTTAGAAAAATAAATAAAATCAACCAAAAAGTCTTTATAAAATTTAACGGAGTTAAGTACTCCTCCTTTTGTTTATTAATTTAAAAAAAAATGAATTTTAGAAGAGGTGGGAGAAAGAACCCAACTACGAGGCGATTTGAATTTTTATTTTGCTTAAATTAAATTTTCTTGTCATTCATTTAACTGAAATGAGTATTTTTAACAAAAAACTAGAAGATACTGGGTGGTGTGTATGCAATAAAATGATAATGATAAATTTAAAAAACAATTTTTTTCCCTAAAGAGATTTTTTAAATGCGTAAACACCGTTTTCATTGATCTTAGAAGAATAAACTAAAAGGAATCTGTAGAATGATCCCAAGCGGTATCTACCGAATCAAGCTTTTTAAATTTTGAAGCGATATATATTAGCTTCAGCGTGGAAAATAAGCTGGTTTTGATACAAAAAAAAATTAAATTCATACGAAAAATGTAATTAAAAAACTAAAAAAGTATTTTCTTTAACACAATTAAATTAACAAAAGTACCCTAAAAATAATATTATAATTGTCTTTAAAAACATTATTATGATTGGAAAAAATGAATGTGATATAGAAGTAAAGTAGTAACATGTGATCTGGGGAATCGATTAAATGTAAATACTAGTTTATTAAATAAAAATTAGTATTAATAGATGACATTGAATTATACATTAAAAGAATAAAAACAAATTGAGTGTGCTAGTCCCAAAGTCCAATCCAAGAAACGAAGATGACGAAGAGAAGTGACCCATGCACGTGGGACACGTGCCTAGTCGGATATGTGCCACTTCTATGCGTGGGAATGGTACACGTCGTTTATGATTTTCGGTTTGATGATATCCACACTACCCAAACGGCCAAACCTAACCATAAAGAAATAATCCAATAAATCTAATTGAGGTAATTTATCTGATAATATATAATTGAGACAATTTTATAAAATGATTTATTTTTAATATAATTTTAAATGGGAATACTAGAAATCTTGATAAAAATCTGCATCTCTGGTATGAATCGTAGAAGTTTATAATTGTTAGTAGATGATAACAGGAATTTGGACTACAAGCATCTGAGAATTTTGAGCGGAGAAACAGTTAATTGTTAATTGTCTTGGAAGAAGCTTTGGCAACTTGCGTATATAAAATTATGAATTTGGCCCAAATTGGCACCTTCCAATATTTAACTTTTGCCTCTTATACTAAAAAACAATATCACACACTGCTTTTTGAGATTTTTCCCCGCTTAGTCGTTATCCAAAACATGATTCAAATGTACTTTTTCAAAATAATTTAAAATAGATTTAATAAATTTAGATGGATAAAATTTGTTAAAAATATATATTAATTGAATAAGAATGATTTTATTATCTAGATTGTTTTGATACACTCATTATATTATATACACCATGTTATTCAAGTTTAGCTATTCTTGTAAATTTTTATGTATCTTTTTACGTTCTTAATTCATTATAGAAAACTATTTTACATGATCTTTAGATTGGCTTTTTTTCATAAATAATACTGTTTTTAAAAATATTTTCCAAAATAGCACCTCTGCAACTTTATTTACACAACTAGCACTGTTTACGGTTAACGTAATAAAATAATATTATTTTGTGCAACTGTTTACTGTTCACGTATTAAAATAATATTATTTCGCGCAATGAACTCTCGCTCAAGCGAATAAATCCTTCGCTTGAGCGAGGAAATCCGTAAGAATGCAGTTATCTCTGGTCAACTATCGCTCAAGCGACAGATATTTCGCTTGAGCGATAAGTGATTAAAATATGTGGTGACCCTAGTTGCGTTATGTGGCTAACTGCGTTGGACGTTAGCCAAATAATGCAACTTGGGTTTAGATAGCGATTCTAGAACTAACGACTATTAAAAATATATTTTAGATAGCGGTTAACGTGGAACCGCTATTATATGTTACTTCTAAGAGCGATTATAACGTGAAATAATCGATCACAATTTTAAAATAATCCACATATAATAGCGGTTCCACGTTAACCGCTATGTTAAATATACTTTTAATAGCGGTCAATTCTACAACCGCTATCTAAAATCTCAGGTAAATTCTAGCTCAAGCGACGGTAATTTCGCTTGAGCGAGAAGTGATTGAAATATGTGGTGACCCAGGTTGCATTATGTGGCTAACTGCGTTGGACGTGTAGCTATGGTCAATTCTCGCTTGAGCGAGAAAACCTGCAGGTGAACCAGGTTGCATTATATGATGTTGCTGAAAGGGGAGTTTGTTCGGTTTATGAAATTATCTTGTGTCTGTATTGTTTTACCTGGAGTTGACTGTAATTGATTCATTGAAGGTGAATATGGGGATGATAGCATGTAAAGAGAATTTAAAATTTCTTGACTGATGGTTGGTTGGTTACTCAGGGTTAAAGTGCTTGAGGTTGTGGGGCTGTCAAGCATCAACTCTGTGGAGTGGCTTAGAATGATCAAAGATACAAAACCCTGTAGAACCCATTATGACCGATCAGATCAGAACTTATTTCAATCGATTAAAACACGTTTCAATCGATTAAAATCACTTAAAGGGTCAGAATGATCGATCAGAATGCAGTTATGACCGATCAGAGTTGGTTATGATCGATCAGAATTTAATTATGACCGATCAGATCTGTTTCAATCGATTAAAATGCATTTCAATCGATTAAAACAACTTGGAAAAATTTGGTACAAAGTTTTAATCGATTAAAACTTCTTTTTATCAGCTAAAATAACTTGGAAAGTTTTATAAGAAAGTTGTTGATCCCAACTCCGAGTCTAGTTGGACAGCGAAAATGGATGGTTGCTACATTTTCGTGGGGTTGTTTCTCCAATTTCTTGTGGATCAACTTCTTCAACCTTTGTAGAGAAATTCCTCTCTTTAAAGGAACAAGTTTTGCAGTCCCAGTATTGAAGGTCACTGCCTCCATGGGACATGGGTTCATCTCTTTAAATATGTTTGGATTCTTCTGCTTTTGTCTAACCCAATGCAGGGAATCCAAGATTGGAATCCTAACTTAGGTGGGTAACTCAGCATTGGATTCTTTACTTGTGTGCATCAGAAAGACATGGGAATCCTGACTTGGGTGGGTGACTCAGCATTGTAAATAGTTGCAGGTTTTCTCGCTCAAGCGATGGTTTTCTCGCTTGAGCTAAAATTGACCAAGCTAAACGTCCAACGCAGTTAGCCACAAAATGCAACTTGGGTCACCACATATTTCAATCACATATCGCTCAAGCGAAAGTACCCGTCGCTTGAGCGAGACAGAACCCGAGAGTCCCCCTTGTTTGAAGGCTTCATCGCTCAAGCGATGACTTTTTCGCTTGAGCGAGCTTTGACCGAATGATGAAACGTCAAACGCAGGTAGCCAAATAATATAACTTGGTTCACCACATATTAGAATCACCCATTTTTCCAGGTGTCCTCGCTCAAGCTATGTGTTTTTCGCTTGAGTGACCTTAGATAGCGGTTCTAGAACTAACCGCTATTAAAAGTATATTTAAGATAGCAGTTAACGTGGAACCGCTATTATATGTCAATTATTTTTAAAACTATGATCGATTATTTCACGTTATAATCGATTATCAATTTATTCGCTCAAGCGATGAGTCTCTCGCTTGAGCGAGAGTTGCCCACGGTCCAACTATATGTCTCACTTTTAAGAGAGGTTAATATTTTAACCGCTCTTAGAAGTGAACATATAATAATGGTTCCATGTTACCACTATCTAAAATATATTTTTAATTGCGGTTAGTTCTAGAACCGCTATCTAAAGTCTCTATGTCAACTCTCGCTCAAGCGACGGATAGTTCGCTTGAGCGAAAAGTGA